AAGTAGCTGGGACCACAGGCGCCCGCCACAACGCCCGGCTATTTTTTGGTTGCAGCCGTCATTGTTGTTTGGCGGGTCCGGGCTGGAGATTCGAACCAGCCACCTTATGCGTACATGGCTGGTGCCTTAGCCGGGTGAGCTATAGGCACCTAGCCAGCCCAAACTTCTAATTGCTGCTCAAAACCCTCATGCCCATAGAAACTCTCCCAGCCTGGCCCTCTACTAGCCTAATGGTAATTCTCTCACTTCTCTTGAGTTCCCACACCCTGCCCAAATCATCTTTCAGACAGAGCATGATCTTTGGATTCAGAAAGACCTGATTGTAAATCCTGGGTCTATCAAATACTTTGGTTCAAATCATGGATCAACAACTGATCAGCCGTATGGCCTTGGCCATCTGACTTCTCTGCATCTTGGTTTCCTCTTCCAAAAATGGAACCATTATCCCAACCCTTTAGGAGCTGGGATTCTAAAGCTGGAGCTTTAGAATCTGCTGAGCCCTCAATAGGCTGCCTGGGTCTCCCGATTTTTGTCTAGCACCAATCTGTCTTCTGGTGACAGCCTGATTCTCCTGTGGAAAACCGTCCTCTCCCACCCCTAGTCCCTAAGGTTCAAGTATAGTTGTCCCTGCCTCAGGCAGAAGTGGAGCCTTAGCACAGGCCTATCAGTCTCAATGATTAGCCCAGAGATAAATATACTACCCAATTTCTACAATTCATGGGGAAAAGGCACTCTCTTCTCTCTGGGCATTTTAAGGTGGTAAGATATAATCCAAGAGCTCTTTATGACCATCTAAAAAAGGCAAACCTGCTAGACACTAAAAACCCAGCTAAAAACTGGAGGGAGGAATGGCTGATGCCAACACATGAGTATCTGGATCAAGCCCCACCTGATGCCATCCCCTGTAATTTTCACTCAAATGAGCCAAGAAATTCTCCTTTTTGGTTAAGCCAGTTGGGTTGGGTTTCTGTCACTCACTCTTCAGTCAAGAGTCTTGACTGATAACTGGTCAGTGAATGGTGACTTCCCCAACCTCTTACTAACCTATAGGTTCTATAAGCACATGGGACTTGGCCCAAGGAATCACAAACTATGACAGAGGAAAAGGTCTCCAGAAACCTCACACTGGTGCTGAGCACGGTGGCTCACACCTGTAATCCCAGCCCTCTGAGAGTCCAAGGTCGGTAGATTCTCTGAGCTCAAGAGTTCAAGACCAGCCTGAGCAAGAGTGAGATCCCATCTCTAAAAAGAGCTGGGCATTATGGCAGGTGCCTGTAGTCCCAGCTACTTAAGAGGCTGAGGCAAGAGAATTGCTTGAGCCTAAGAGTTTGAGATTGCTGTGAGCTATAATGCCACAGCACTCTACCAAGGGTGACAAAATGAGACTCTATCTCAAAAGAAAAAAAAAAAGAAACCCCACACTGTTCCCTGCCCAGTGAAGGGGCCTACAGGAAGGACTGGGATAGTCAGAGCATACCTATAACAGAAGCCTCAAATGCCAGGCCTAGGCTTTATTACTGTTACATGGTTCCATTAGGATCCTTCCTCCTTCCCACCTCTTAAATGTTTTTTTTTTTTCCACTCCTTAAATGTTAATGTTCCTTTCTTATGCCTGTTCCCTCTCTCTTCAAGGAGAAATCCACAGCCCCCTGAAATAACATGGTCAGCTAGTGGATACAAGTATCTTTCAAAGAGAAGGCCTGTGGCTTTCCTCCCATTCTCAAAGCAGTCTATGATCTAATGAGTGTGAAAGGTTTCTCCACACCACCTCTGGCAAGCTCTCTGGCTCTGCAGAGGGACCCTCATTGCCATTAGAAAGAATGTGTCAGACCATTTCATGTGGCATCATCCTTCAGCATCACCTCAGTTTGCTCTCACAATGGCCCATGGGCATGTTATATAATCCACCTTTTACTGATGAGGAAACTGAAGCACAAAGAGATTAAGTGATGATGGTTTTATTTTTTTTTTAGGCTAGTCAAGTGAAGCAGTGGGAGTGGAGAAGGAACAAAGGAATCTGCAACTGACTGTGATCAATTAGTTGTAAACACCACTGCACTTGGACCAGCTGTGATGATGGTTTTTGTACAGTTGGTTGTTTGTTGCCAGTCATCCTAGTTCTGCCACTTGCCCACTATGACCTCAAAAAAGTTGCTATTTCTTAGGCATTTCCCTGGGGCAAGTGGAAACTGGCAAAGCCTGGAATGGAACCTAGATCCAACACCTCCAAACTGCCTCCCATCCCATCCCAGGCTTGCCTCCTGAGGCTGGTTCCAGCAGGGCGTCTGGCTCACCCCAAGGATTGAGATGGCTAGAGCTTAGATTCACTGCCAGGGAAGGTGGGTCCTCAGGGAAAGAGAGGGACCACTCACCCTCAGGAGTTCCTGGGGGGGCAAGTTCGGCCCCTGACACCCACTGATGGCAGCCAAGGTGGTAGAAGAAGATGCCATCTTCATAGCACTTTTCCTCCTGGTAATGGGTGTGCACATTGCCCCCTGGAAAGGCAGAAAAGGGCACAGCTGATAAGCCTGGGGTGGAGTCACCCACAGAGGGAGTGTTAGCTCAGGTTTGGCTCAAGGTCCTTGCAGGCAGGCAGGGGGATAGGGAGCTGTTACCATAGACCACCATGTAGTTGCCCAGGACACTGGCCGTGTGGAAGGCACGCTCCCTTGGGCCCTGAAGTCCATCCCGGCCCTTCAGTGTTGTCCACACCCGCCGATCTACATGGAATAGCTCAGTGGAATTCACTCGCACAGAGAACCTATAGGAGAAGGGACAGGGCAGGGGTTTGGGGCAGGAAGAGTCTCTCTCCATCCTCTGGGCACTTAACTGTGTGATCACCCAGAGCTGAGATTAGCTGTGACTGGGTCTATGTCTCCTCCGATCTAGAAGTTTCCTGTGGATAGGACCCAGGACTCATCTCTGGGTTATCTATATAACCAGTCTAATAAGGGCTGAACACCAAACAAGGGTTTGTTGAATAGATAGATGGATGGGAATGCGGGGGAAAGCAACTAACTAAGAGACTGAATAAAAGATCAGAGAATGTGTAAGTGGGTGAGTGAATGGAGAATAAATGAAGAAAGGAGTTACTGAATCACTACACAAGTCTGTTATTGGGCAAGTGCTCTAAGGACTAAAGTCCCATGGTTTTGTAGAGCAGGATTTGTAGGCAGGTCACTTACCGGGCAGTGGAAGGCCGGTGTCCGCCATGGACCAACAGGGCACGGGAGGGAGCATGGAACACCATGGAGTGGCCAGTAGCAGCAGGAGGCCGCCCACCTGCTGGAATCACCTGCTCCCAATATCCCCCACTGGTGCTGTCGAGGTGGAAACGGAAAAGGCCAGAGGAGAAGAGGTCATGCTGAGTGCGGCCACCAGACACGTAAAGCCAGATGTCATCCACCAGGGCAGCTGCATGACCTGCCAGGCCTGGGGGCCCCCAGGAGCTGGAGGCAGGTGGTGCCAGGAGTTCCCAGTGGCCCCTACCCAGCGGGCTAAATGCCCACACATCATTGGTAAGTGAGCCATCAGCCAGCTCACCACCCATGAGCACAAGGGAGCCGGCCCAGGCCACAGCCACGTGGGAATGACGAGCAGCCTGTGAAGAGACAAGGAGATAAAGATGGAGAGGGAGGGGGCGCCTGTGGCTCAGTGAGTAGGGTGCCAGCCCCATATACCAAGGGTGGTGGGTTCAAACCTGGCCCTAGCCAAACTGCTAACTTCCGTTAGCCAGGTGTTGTGGTGGGCGCCTGTAGTCCCAGCTACTCAGGAGGCTGAGGCAGGACAATTGCCTAAGCCCAGGGGTTGCTGTGAGCTGTGATGCCACAGCATTCTACTAAAGGCAATAAAGTGAGACTCTGTCTCTAAAAAAAAAAAAAAAGATGGAGAGGGAAAGAGATGAGGGCACAGGGAGCGAGCCAAAGCCAGGCACAGACAGAGACATACAGAGAAACAGTGAGATAGAGAGACAGACAACAAGCAAGACAGAGACGAGAAAAGAAGAGGCAGACACAGAAAGACAGAGACATCTGAACAGAAACAGAGAAGGTGAGACAGAGAAACACAGAGGGAAGAGGCAGGGAGACAGAATCACAAGGAGAAATGACAGAGAAAAGCAGAAGGAGAGAAACAGACTCAGAGAGATAGAGACACAGAGACAGACCCTATGTAAAAGACCAAAAGTCAGATGGACAAAAATGGAGAGGCAGATAGAGAGAGACAAGAGATACACAAAAAGATAAAATATAGAAAAAGGTAAAAGAAGTAGAAGACAAAGGGAAATCAGACAGAGAAAAGGCAGACACAAGGAGAAGTAGGTTTCTATATCAAGCTGTGAAGGCAGGGAGAGTCTGGGGTGACAGAGGGCAGCCTAGGGGTCCTGGCTAGGTCTGAGAGGACAGGTTCTTCCAGCTAGGACACAGGAAGGGTCCATACCGGGGCAGGTCTCAGGTCCCAGCTCTCCCAGGTGTTGGTTGAGAAGTTGTATAGGACGAGGTCACCCAGTGCATTGTTGAGGTCCTGGCCTGTGGAGGGGGATGGTCTCAAGCCCCAGCCACAGGTTGCCAGGTCTCCAGACCCCAGACATTCACCCCATCTGCTCACCTCCAAAAACAGCCAGCAGCCCTGGTGGGGACAGGAAGGCACCAGCTGCCCCAATACGAGCAGAGAAGGCAGGGTCCCCAGCACTCACGTTGTGCCACCAGCCAGCCCCCTGGTTCTCCCACAGGTGCAGGTCACAGGCACGTCCTAGGAAACCAGGCTCACAGCGGCATGGTCCCAGGGGCTAAAGGGAAGGGAATATAAAGGCAGAGACAGAGAGAGAGACAGTGACAGAGAGATAGACAAAGAGAACAACAGCAAAAGTGAGACAGAGAAAAGAGGAGCAGGAAAGACAGGTTGGAAAAGAGAGAATGAAAAAGAGACAGAGACAGAAAGAAGGATATAGCCAAACAGACAGTGAGAGAGAGAAACAGGGGACACAGAGACACAACCAGAGGGAGGCAGAGAGGTAGAAAAAAGAGGACAGACCAACAGAAAAAGGAAAGACTCAGAAAGAAAAATGAGAACAGACAGAAAGAAGACAGGTCGGAGAAGAGACTATCAGTGAGGCCAAAGTTCAGTTTGGGCCAAAAGAGGGAGCTCAAGGCAGAAAGGGCTCCAAGCATGATGTAGATCCAAAGCTTAGATGGAAGGTCAGTGGTGAAATGTGGGAAGTCATGGCAGAGAGCCCAAGGCCACACAGAGTGGTGGGGTAGGAGGAGGGAGTTGGGTGTGGAGGAGGAAGGAGGGTGATGCCCACAGTGACAGTGAAGTATATATGAGGACAGGATGGGCTCAGGCAGGGGAGAGACAGGCTGGGGATAGGAGCCAGTGGGGATAGGACTTGGAAGAGGAAGGGAGTGAGTATCCTGGGAGAGTATGGGGAGAGTTTCATGCTGGAGGTGGTCAGATCTAGGAGAGGAGCACAGTGGGTATGGTCACAGATCAAGGCCCCAGGGGGACAATGGTAGGGACAAGCTCACCGAGGCGCAGGTGCCATGGCTGCCACAGTAGGCTGAGCACTCCTGCAGACTGCAGTCGGGGCCACCCCAGCCTGGTTCACAGGCACACACACCTGGAGGCCGGCACTGCCCATGGCCTTGGCAGCCACCCGGGCACAGGGAGAAGCGGAAGGAGGCATTAAAGCCCAGCAGGTTGTAGTTGGCATCACTGAAGAGGTGCAGCAGCATCTGCAGCACAAGGTGGGCTGGGCTCTGGGGACTGGACTGGAAGGGTACTTCACTCCCACCCCTGCCCCCACCCCATCCTGGAGAACCACCACCCCACATCCTTTATCTCTCGACATCTTCCTTTGTCCCTGTGTGTCTCTTGCTAGCTCCCTGTCCCTCCCCTTCTTTTTCATCTCCCTCCATATATCTATCCCTCTCTCCCCCATACCTCACCTGGATCCTCCAGCCACAGTCCAACAGCACCTGTCTCTACCAACCTTGCCTGAGGAAGCCTCAATGGGTGGAGGCCGGGTGCTCCCACTCAGACTGGCAAGAAGTGGTCCTCGGGGGGAGTCGCCATCATACACAAACAGGTAGTCATATGTGCATTCCGTATCCAGGAAAAGGAAGTCTAGCAGGATCCGGTGCTGGGGGCTTGGGGCTGGGAGGTGAGCATAGAGGGGCCAGGTTCAAAAGCAGACCTGCTCCCCAAGCCTCTATGTAGCCCACAAACACCAGACCCTGCTCCTGGTGAAACTGGGGAGTGTTCAAAGATGGGTAAGACTTAGGCTCTGCCTTGGAGGGACTCCTGGTCTTATAATTCAGGGAAGTGAGATCTGTGACAGCCAGAGGGACAGGAGCCCAGAAAAGGAATTATAGTATCAGCCCTAGAAAGGTCTCCTGAAATCAGGCGAACACCTGCTTTAGCTCAGTTGGGAAACTAAAGTGCAGAGACAGGAAACCTCATCCCCATGGTCACATAGAGCAGCCACCACATTGTTCCTGAGGTCTTGTTCTTTCTGTCTCTGCTTAAGCTTCAGACATGCCCAGGCCAGAGGGTCAGGGCCCAGGCCCTGGCAGAGAAGTATACTCCCAGTGAGGAAAGGGACTCCATGAGAGTCCTCTATTTCCAAGTGAACAGAGTTCTAAGAGAAGAGTTCTTCGTCTTCCCCCTGAACAAAGGCCTAATCCTGGAGCATCATAGTTCCCCTCTGTCCCCAGAGTCTCATCTCTCTGTTTCTTGCAGTGGCTACAGGCAGAGGGTCTGAAGCCAGACTGCCCAGGCACAAATTCTGACTCTGCCACTGAATAGCTACTAGCGTGTGACCTTAGGCAAATAACCTACCCTCTCTGGATCTATTTCCTCATCTGTAAAGTGGGGATATAATGTGGTAGATTCAAACCTCTAGGCTGCTTCTCCCACGGAAAGGTGAGAGCTAATTCTCTGCCCCTCACATCTAGTAAGAGCCTTAGTGATTTGCTTGACCAATAAAGAACAGCAGGCTTGGCACCCATAGCACAGTGGTTACGGCGCCAGCCACATACATTGAGGGTGGTGGGTTCAAACCTGGCCCAGGCCAGTTAAACAACAATGACAACTGCAACCAAAAATAGCCGGGCATTATGGAGGGCACCTCTAGTCCTAGCTACTTGGTAGGCTGAAGTAAGAGAATTGCTTAAGCCCAAGAGTTTGAGGTTGCTGTGAGCTGTGATGGCATGGCACTCTCCTAAGGACAATAAAGTGAGACTCTGTCTCAGAAAAAATTAAAATTAAAATTATAAAAAGAAAAAGAACAGCAGAGGCTGAGTGCAGTGGCTCACGCTTGTAATCCCAGCACTTTGGGAAGCTGAGGCAGGAAAATGGCTTGAAGCCAGGAGTTGAGAGCAGCCTGAGTAACATAGCTAGACCATATCTCTATGAAAAATTTAAGAAGTGATGCTGTGGAAGCTCCAGGGCTAGGTCATAAGAAGCCTTGCCGTTTTCACCTGGGCCTCACAGAATGCTCCTTCTCAGAACACAGCTGTCACACTATGAAAAGCCAAAGCCACAAGAAGAGGCCACACATAGGCATTAAAGCCGACAGGCTCAGTTGAGCTGCCAGCTGCCAGCCAGCATCAACTGTCAGCCCTGGAGGGACCTTCCTGGATATCTAGCCCAGTAAACATTCAGATGATTGCAGCCCCACCTGACATTCTGTGACCACGTAAGAGGCAATAATGCACATAACGTGTGTAATAGGGCTTAGTCAGTGCCACTACCCCTGAAGCTGTGACTTATCTTTGTTGTTTTGAAACACTCTGTCACTCCGGCTAGAGTGCTAGAGTACCATGGCCCCTCAGCCTAGCTCACAGCAACCTTGAACTCCTGAGCTCAACTCAAGAGATCCTCCTGCCTCCTGAGTAGCTGGGACTACAAATGCCTGCCACAACGTTAGTAGAGACAGGGTCTTACTTTGCTCAGGCTGGTCTTGAACTCCCGACTTTATTTATATATATATATATATTTTTTTGAGACAGAACCTCAAGCTTTCCCCCTGGGTAGAGTGCCATGGCATCACAGCCCACAGCAACCTCCAACTCCTGGGCTCAAGCGAGTCTCCTGCCTCAGCCTCACAAGCAGCTGGGACCACAGGCGCCCGCCACAACGCCCGGCTATTTTTTGGTTGCAGCCATCATTGTTTTGGCGGGCCCAGGCTGGATTCGAACCCGCCACCTTAGGTGTATATGGCTGGTGCCTTAGCCACTTGAGCCACAGGCGTCAAGCCAGAACTCCTGACTTTAAGCAATCTTCCCACCTCAGTCTCACAGAATGCTAGGATTACTGGCATAAGCCACCACACCTAGCCACTGTTCTTGTTCTCTGCCAGGTCCTGGTTCAAGAATGTTCTCTGGATACCACCTCCCACACTAGGGGGCTCCATGGGACCACTTCAGGCAGCTCAGGTGAATCCTCTGGGCTAGAGAAACTAGGAGTCCCGATTCCAGCTCTGCCCCTGACCTGCTGGAGTACCTTTGGCCAGCTTCATCCTCCACAAGCCTCAGTTCACTCATCTGAATCCTAAAGATACTCATCCACTGCTAACAATGGCTGTGTGATCTTGGGCCAGTTGCATGGGCCCTCTCAGCCTCAGCTTCCTTAATTATAAAATGGGGATAATTTTCCCCACCAAGGCTGGTGTGAACATTCAACAAGATGATTACTCTAACCCAGGCATCCTCACACTAAGGTCTGCACATTTATCTGGCCTGCCAAGTGTTTTTGCCGCCGCTGCCTATCCTGCTTAGCAGCCGACTCGTCCCAGGCCCACAGTCTGGCCCTCCAACGGTCTGAACGACAGTGAACTGGCCCCCTGTTTAAAAAGTTTGAGGACCCCTGCTCTAACCTGTCGGCCCGGAGCCAGGTGCTCAATAACATGTCCTGCCCAGGCCTCATCCTCTCTCACCAAGACCACTGATCTCGCCTACTTTTTGGCCTCCTGGCCTCCAGTCTTGCCCTACTACGGGTCTCTGAGGGATCTCCCCAAATCAACTTCTGGCCCTGTCCCTCCCCTGCTCAAAAGCACTACATGGCTCCCCACTCTAAAGAAAGTAAAGCTCCCTAACCTGGTGTTTAAAACTTGACCTTGTCTCATATCACTCTATTGCTGGAAGGTCTATCAGGAGCTGGGCATTTACACAAGCTTTTCCCTCCATCTGCAACATATTTTCCCTTCTAATCAGCTATGTTCCACTCTTCTCCCTCCCCTTGGCGGGATTAGGAGCCCCTCTTCTGGGTTCTCATATCCCATAACAACTTTCATTCATTGGGCTAGGACCACCTAAGTCCAGGTCTGTCTCCTCTGCAGCCTATAAGGCCCACAGGGCAGTGACTGGATCTGGGCCTAACTCCCTCCCCAACATTGGCCAGGCCAAGGTCTGGTGCTGAGCAAGGACTCAGGAAATACTGGATGATGGAATGAAGAAATGCACAAAAGTAAGAATACTGAAACTGGCAGCTTTCCTTCAGGCTGTGCCCAGAGCTCTCAGAACACTGCACACAAATCCCCACCCATGGTCTAGGGAATGCAGAGATCCATTTGGCCAGACCAGGCAACCAGACCTCCCAGAATCATACCAGCCTCAACTAAACTATACAGCTCTGTTCCTGGAATCACAACAAGTACATCTTTGTCAAGTGCTTGCCAGAGGCCGGCTCACCATCTGCCTTCCCCAAGTTCCTCCTTAAGTTCAAGGTCTCCTGTTTCCACTCAACCCCCACACCATTCCAGATAGAAATCTGATCCCAAACCACCACACCTCAAAAGCAGGATGCCTCTTATTCATTAGGATGTTATGAAGACTAGGCCCAGATAAAATGTGAACGTGGTATAAAAGTAAGTGAGTTAGTTGCTTATTTTTTAATAGATGGACGAAGATGCAGGTTCTTAGAGGTGACAGGCACTGGGAAAGACAAGAGATGAAGAGAGAGGTTGGGAGGTTTCCCAGACTCTTCCTGCATCCAAGCATCCAGCCAGCTGGTCCCCATGTCTCACTGGTGAAACTCCACAAACATCCTTCTGCATTCTCCAAACCTCTCAGCCCCTTTAATCCCTGCCCCAGCTCAGAACTCATCCTCTCCTTTGAGAAGCTCACCAAGTCTCCAGTCTACCCCCTACCCAGCCTGAAAGCAATGTCCTACTCCTGCTCAAAATCCTTCTGTGGCTCCCTCATCAACTCCAAAATAAAGGCTAAGATGCTCACTATGACATTCAAAGTCCTCCTTCTTGGGCTTTTGATTCCCTCTTCGCCTCCCAGTCAATTGTGCAGTCAAACCTAGACATGGAGACACACCAGCTTCCCTCATGACTTTACAGAAGCTGTTTGTTCTCTTTTTCCACATAGTAAACTCCTATGAATACTTCCGAACCCTTCTTCAGTGGTTCCTCCCCTATGTCTTCCAGCAGGTTCTCTCACTCCCATAGGCCCATCCACCCAGTCCCTGCACTTTCCTGTCTCAATGCTGAGCACTGTCTCAGTGTGAACACTGGTGGCTGAATGTCTGTGTCCAGCCCCACCATTCCCAACCAGTCTGGGACACTTCAAGGCAGGCCAAAGAAATGATTTATACCCTTCTCCACTCTGTTCTTACAATCCCCAGACTAACAGGAATAGCCCCCAAGCTGGGGACAGCTAGACACACTCACCACACGAAACATGTCTTCATCCATACCCTACACAACAGCCAGAAAGATCTTCTAAAATATAAATCAGGTCAGGCGTGGTGGCTGATGCCCGTAATCCTTGCACTCTGGGAGGCCAAGGCAAGTGGATTAAATTAGTTCAGCTCAGGAGTTCGAGACCAGTCTGAGCAAGAGCAAAACCCTATCACCACTAAAAATAGAAAAAACTAGCCATGCATAGTGGTGCATACCTGTGGTCCCAGCTACTCAGAAGTTGAGGCAAAAGGATTACTCAAGCCCAAGAGTTTGAGTTTGCTGTGAACTATGATGCCACAGCACTCTATTCAGGAAAACAGAGTGAGATTCAGTCTTGGGGAAAAAATCATAAATCAGATCATATCCTCCCCTGCACAAAACTCTGGCATAGCTCCCCAGTGCCCCCAGATAAAGATCAAGCTCCACCACCTGCTAAGGGAGGCCCTGTATGACCCGGGCTCTGTCACACCTCTGGCCTTTGCCCATGACCTCTCCTGTCTGGGGAACTCCTACCTCTCCTTAGGGACCAGCTCCTACATCCACTGCTCTGTGAGCCCTTCCTGGACTTCTCCAGCCACTGTCATTGGACTTCCCTTCCATCTGCCTACTGCCTGCAGGGTACAACACCAAATAACAAAGTCCTACACCCTCTGGCTCCTCTGCAGCCTCTGGCTCACTGGATTTCAAGTTCCTTACAAGCATCATACTCTCCTGCTCCCAGGACTGTGTGTGGGTTATTCTCCTTGTCTAGAATACCCTTCTGCCCTCTCCTACACATGCCTCTGGTCTCAGCTAGACCCCAGACCAAGTCAGATGTCCTCTCTGGGCTTCCCCCCTCCCTCGGTATGGGTTTGTCTCTTATGGGCTGAGAGCCCATAACGTACAGCTGGGGTCTTTGCACAGACTGTTCCCTCCTTCTGGAATGCTCTTCCTTCCACTCCTGACTGACTCCCATTGGTCTTTCCTGTCTCAGTTCAGACATCTCCTCCCCTAAGATGCCTCCCTGAGAAGTGCACCCAGGTCAGGCACTTCTGCTGGGCTTCCCCAGGCTTATAGTGTCCCTCTATCAAGACGATTCTGGGCTGTCATTGTTAATGTGTTTGTCTTCCCCATTGGAATCCCAGGGTGAAGTCATCAGGAATTGCTAGGACTGTCTTGGTGAAGTATGTCCCATGTGGCACATGAATGCCTACAAAAAATACTTTATTCTTTTTTCTTTTTTTTAATGAGACACAGTCTTTACTCTGTTGCCCAGGGCTAGAGTGCTGTGGTATCAGCCTAGCTCACAGTAACCTCGAATTCTTGAGCTCAAGCAATCCTCCTTTCTCAGCCTCCCAAATAGCCGGGACTACAGGCACTCACTACAACCCCATGACCCTCAGCTAATTTTTCTATTTTTAGTAGAAATAGTATCTCACTCTTGCTCAGGCTGGTCTCCAATTGCAGAGCTCAAACAATCCTCCCACCTCGGCCTCCCAGAGAGCTAGGATTACAGGCATGAGCCATCAGGCCCAGTCCAAAAAAGGCTTTTATTGAAGTACTTTTAAGGCAACAACAATTATCCTAATACTACTTACTGAATATTTACTGTGTACCATGAGTCAGGCATGTTAAATTCCTGTCTCATTTAATTCCAACAACACTGTGAGGGGAGTACCATTGTTATCCCCACTTGGAAGCCACCTGACCAAAGTCACAAAGCTAGTAAGAAGTACAGCCTTATTCAAAGCCAGGTGATTGGACTCAGAGTCTGAATTTTTAACACTTACTCAGAAGACCCCTCACTGATGCTCCTGGCTTTTAACTGTCCCTCTGGGTCTGGGTGCATCTCCCCCCACCAGACTTCCAGTGCAGGGCCCAGATTGGCTGAAACCCTGGGGGTCCCACATTAATTTAGAGCAACAGGCCTTGGCCAACAGTAGGCTCTGAGAATGTGGTAAATGGATGAATGCCCAAATGAATGAATGCACTAGCAGCAAAGTAGTGAGTTATCTAGGGGTCCCCACTCACCCTCGATGAGCCACTCGCAGTTGCCATTGACGCTGTAGTTGCCAGCACCATCCGTCACAAAGCCTGGCGCCTCCCGCAGCACCTGCCGCTGCCCCTTGCAGTCCCCCGCCTGGATTCCGGGGGACAGCGACCCCAGCACAGCTAAGGCCAGAGTCGTGGCCAGAGCCTCGACCAGGGCCATTGACACCTCTCACACTGACCCTTACAGACAGGCTGGGTGGTAAAGACCTGGAGAGGACCCTCTATCTAGCTTAAGGCCCTGCAAATGTGACCTCTATACGGATAGCACAACCATGCAGAACGGGGAGGTCCCGGAGACGCAATCTCTGCGAAGGTTGTTGACGGACTCTAAAAGCCGAGGAGCGGCTCTGCATTTGTAGTCGTAATGGATGGGGCCACCCCTTAGGGACCGTTGTGGTCCCCTATAGACACAGGCCCCCATAGAGAGGCCGACCCCATAAACAGTGTCCAGCAATTACAGATTCAGACCGTGCAAACTAAAACGGACCTCATAGATGAGTGGGTCCCCACCGGGCGAAGGGCTCTATAGCCCGGCAGGGGCCTCCATAGAAGATGCGGGCCCAGACAGGCCAGTGTCGGATGGCCTGGCAGAGACTCCTCCAGGCAGGGGCGGGGCGCAAGAGGGTGCCGGGGCGGAGCCAGTCTTCAGGGGTTTGGGCCTGGACACCACAGATGCACTCGCTTTGCTCACCCACCCGCGTTTCCCTCCAGAGTCAGATAGGCCAGATCAGAGAGACGAGGGGACGCTTGGGCCAGAGCGGCCCCGGGAAGACCCGCTGGGAGGGAGAGGGGGCGGGACACGAGCGGCCGCTATGGGAGGGCGAGAGAAGAGGAGGCGAGAAGCTGCAGAGCGGCGGTCAGAAGGGCCCTGGGAGGACTGCGGAGCACCCAGCCCCACCCCTCTGCAAAGAAAGACTTCCGGAGATTTCCCCGCCCATTTGTTCCCAGCCGCTTGCGCAGCAGCGGCCTCTTGGCTTGTGAAGAGAAACACATACAGGCCTAAGATTGTAACCCAAACTGGGGGTGCCAGAGGCTGAGCAAAACCTGTGCCACTGGAGGGCGCCTCACCTCTAACTGGAGAAGGGAAGAGAAAAATATAGGAACGGTGCAATAAGAGAGCCCTGCTGGAAGACCAATAATCTTCATTGCTTCCCAGTTTCTGGGTCAACATAAGGGTCGAGATATGCAGGCCCCTGTCTCCGGACCCAAAACGCCATTTCACAGATAAGCACCCTGAGGTCCCAAACCCGAAACGGTTCTGGCTCAGCCGCTGAACACCATCAAGATTTAAAAGATGTTGGCTGGGGGGTGGTAGCTCACGCCTGTAACCCTACCACTCTTGGGAGGCCGAGGCAGGTGGATCGCCAGGAGTTCGAGACCAGCCTGAGGAAAGCAAGATCCTAACTCTACTTGAAATAGAAAAATTTGCTGGGAGTTATGTGTAGTCCCAGCTTGTTAGGGGGCTGAGATGAGAGGATCTCTTGAGCCCAAAAGTTTGAGGCTGCAGTAAGGTATGACAACACTGCGGCACTCTATCCAAAGCGACTGAAACTTTGTCTCAAATAAAGTCATGTTATAGATAAAAACTCAACGAATCCTCTTTATTTTGGCAAGAAGGGGGGGAACCTCTTTCTGCCAGGGATCTGAGGGAGGGCCCCCAGAATGGAGATGGGGTGGAAAGAGGGTCCGAGGTCACAGATCCGAGGGAGAGTTTCGGGGTTAAGACCAGCAGCACAATATCCATCCTGGGAGCCCTAGCTTGAGGTCGCGGAGTCCTGGAGAGTCACTGGCGGGGTCCCGGCAGTCATCACGGGTATTCCGAAGTCCAGCGGGGTCAGAGGTCTCGGAGGGAGCCGGGGGGCCGGAGGTCACGGAACAGCGGGAGCCCAGAATCCGGCGCTGCTCGGGGCAGGGGCTGAGGGAGGGGACGGGGAAAGCGGCTCCCGCGGGACCGTTTGGCACAAGGGAGGAGAGGGGCGGGACGCAGCACACCCTACCTGGGCGCGCTGGGTGGGGAGGGTCGGGAAGGCCCGAAATGACCCAGCGTTTGGGCTGGGATAAAGCAGGGGTCCGGAGCCCAGCCGGGGCCCGGCTCGCGGCTCATGGGGCAGGGACAGGCAGGGGTGCTCAGACCGGGGGTGCAGTGCCCCCGGCCGTGTGCATGCTGAAGTATTCGGTGAAGCCAGTATGCGGCGCCGCCGTCTGGGGCACAAGCGGCTGGTAAGACGGCGTCGGGCCATCCCAGCCCGGGTCGGCCGCCTTGGGGAACCGAGCGGGAGGGGGCGGGGAGGCTGCGCCCGGCTCGGCCATGGTCACCACACGGCCCCTCGGGGCCACCGCCGCCGCCACCGCCGTCTCCTCCACCTGTTTCCCGGCCTGGGAGGGGGTTCAGGGTCAGAGGCTGTCCGGAACCCTCGGGGGGGGGCCAAATGCGGCCCCGAAGGCCCGTTCCCCACCCCCCGAAGGACCGGTCCACCCCAGTTATGGACGCACGTGTCAGTCTGGGAAAGAGTGTGTGGCGGGACGCCTGGGCAGCGGGGCCAGGTACTCAAGGGGCGGCGTTGGGGCGCGCCGGGCGAACTCCGGCGGCGGCCGGGGAGCTGGGGGAGAGCCGCGGAAGGCAGGCGGCGGGGGCACGGCGCGTGGCGTCTGCGGGGGCGTGCGCAACAGCGCCAGGACCCAGTCCGGCAGAGTGGGCGCAGGCGCTAGGGTACGGTCGCGGAGAGGCGTCGGGGCTCGGGGCGTGCGAAAGGCTGAGGGCGGGCTCAGACGCCCAGGGGCTGGGGGCGGCGGCGGGGCTGGGAGCGGGGTAAGGTACTCCAGGGGCGGCGCCAGCAGCTCCTCGGGCGCTGGGGCCACGGGGCTTACGGAGGAGGCGGGCGGGGGTATGGAGAAGAGCTCCGTGAAGTTGGGCACTGAATCGCTGATGAACGTCACATTCCCATAGACGTGCTGCGGGAAGGCCTTGTCTCCCGACTGGCTTCCTCCGGGTCCTGGTGCCCCAGCTGATGCGATCTGCGACGTGCGCACGTGGTACGGGAAGTTCTTGTTGGCCGCTGATGGACGAGTCATGATCTGAACGGAGGAGCCAGGAGCAGGTTGGAGAAGCACTGTCCACACCGCAGGCTTTCTCCATATATTTGGAGTCCTACGGATTCCCCAACATTTGGCATCCCCTACAATTCTCTAAAACCATTCAAACTGCAGCTTTTCTGGGCTCTTTCAATGCCCTGAACCCTGACCCTTCCACACAGTTCTCACTACTCTGCCCTATGCTTCCTCCATCAGCCCACTGATCACTGAGCTATCACTAACTGGTTAAGATCAGTATTCTGCACTGTCCGGGATGACAGCCACTAGCTACCTATGGCTTAAATTTAATCAAAATTAAACCAAATGTTTAGTTTCTCAGTCATATTACCCACATTCAAGTGCTCAATAGCCATATGTGGTTACTGGCCACCACATTAGACAATGCAGATTATGGAATATTTTCATAAACACAAAGTTAAATTGGACAGTAGCTAATAAACTCCAGGATGTTAGCTCAATAAGAGTAGAAACCTGGCTTGGCGCCTGTGGCTCAAGAGGCTAAGGCGCCAGCCACATACACCTAAGGTGGCTGGTTTGAATCCAGCCAGGGCCCGCCAAACAACAATGACGGCTGCAACCAAAAAATAGCCAGGCGTTGTG